AAAAAAAAAAAAAAAAGAAAAAAAAAAATGACAGTGATGACATTACTAAGAGTTGGTATGTCTATACTTTATGGGTGACTTAAGGGATTTTCTAAGGGACTATGTATCATTTTACCTTATGAGCTGATAAAACCTAACTCCTAACCAAAACAAGACTGTTCTATAAGAAACAAGAAACAGATGGATTTAACATCTCTTCTGCAAGCTAGAACACAAAAGATCAATGATTTCTACATTTTAAAAAGGAAAAAATATTTGTAATTTAGACCACTCACATTTTCATGTGAAAAACATTTAACGAAATGAAATATAGTAGTTAAAATTATACTGAATAAAAGAAATAGTAACAACTGACTATATTGCTCAAAAGAATGAAAGGGCTGGGCTCAGTGGCTCATGCCTGTAATCCCATCACTTAGGGAGGCCGAAGCAGGAGGATCACTTGAGCTCAGGAGTTTGAAACCAGCCTGGGCAACATGGTGAGACCCTGACTCTACAAAACATGGCCAAGCATAGTAGCGTGCACCCAAGGTCCCAGCTACTTGGGAGGCTGAGGTGGGAGGACCACCTGAGCCAGGAGGTCAAGGGTGCAGTAGGCCAAGATCATGCCACTGCACTCTAGCATGGGTGACAGAGCAAGGCCCTGTTGTCTCAGGGAAAAAAAAAAAACAACACACACACACACCAAAAAAAGAAATAAAACAAAAAAGAAAAACTGAAGGGTCCTAGATAAGAAGAATATCAGGCACTGAAACTTCAAAAGATACTCTTTCAAATGGCAAAAATTCCCAGATTAAATTTCCTACTCTATGGGTTCAAAACCAAACTCTTGTTTTCCTCTCTTCTCCTTCTTTCTCTCTCAAAAACAAAAACCAAACAACAACAAAGACAAAAAACAAAGACTAAAACATTGCCTCCTAATCATCAATTTATACATTTGTCTATAAACAGATGCAACAACATCCAGCAAGTCCCTCTTGTTGACATCAGGTACATATTTCAAAACCACAAGGACAAAAAAAAAGTAGATTAGTGGCTACCTAAGGCTAGCACGGAGAGAAATACGGAATGATTTCAAATGGGTATGAGTTATTTTTGGAATGACAAAAATGTTCTAAAATTGTGGTGATGGTTGCACAACTGTGAATATAGTAAAAATCACTGAACTGTATACACTTTAAATGAACTGCCTGGTATGTGAACTCAATAAAGCTTTTGTAAAAACATATTGAGAATATACTTCCATGAAGTTTAGGCAATAAAAAAAACTGAAAGACACTATTCAAACAATATTAACTAGGGAGATACTGTGTGGGCAAACACTAGTAATTTTTTTTATATTTTTGGGACGAAGTTTCGCTCCTGTTGCCCAGACTGGAGTGCAATGGTGCATTTTGGCTCACTGCAACCTCTGCCTCCCAGGTACAAGCAATTCTCCCGTGCCTCAGCTCCCAAGTAGCTGGGAGGTGCGCCACCACGCCTGGCTAATTTTTTGTGTTTTTAGTAGAGACGTGGTTTCATCATACTGGCCAGGCTAGTCTCAAACTGACTTCAAGTGATCCACCCGCCTTGGCCCCCCAAAGTCGTGGGATTGATTACAGACCTGAGCCACCAAGCCCAGCCATATTGTCAAAGAGTAGTTTTTAAAACGTATATTCATATATGTTAAATAGGTAATATATTTAATACAATGAAGCCCTTCAAGTACAATTATGCATGCTATGAGGTTACTTCATTTTGATGCAAATCTCTTTAAGTTATTTGAACTTTCTGATGAAGCAATGCATCAGTCAAAGGAGAGTATAGCTTTAAATAAATTTATAAATTTCGTTTTTAATTCAAACTTGCTGATGACCACTCATACTCACTAACATGGCTCTAAATTAAACGCTGAGCAAGACTCCAGAAGATCTGCTTGGCCTATACTCTCACCAATCTAGTTTACATTTAACATTTATCTATATGATAATACAGATTTACTAAACTTTTATTTGTATGCTTCTTGTCTAACCTGTGTATTTATAAATAAGAAACTGGATCTTAACAATAAGTAATTTACCTTGGAAATTAACATTGTACTATTTCTTTTTGAAGTTTCATAAAAAATTTAACTGAACTTAAGAGTCAACCTGAGAGCTCTCTCTCCACCGTGTGAGGATACAACAAGAAGACAGCTGTCCGCAAATCAGGAAGAGATCCTTTACTAAAAACAATCCCAGTACTGTGGGAGACTAAGGTGGGAGGATCACTTGAGCCCAGGAGTTTGAGATCAGCCTGGGCAACATAGTGAGATCCCATCTCTACAAGAGAGAAAACATTTGCATGTCTGGCTAAATTTAAAAGTTAGCCAGGCATGGTGGGGTGCACCTGTAGTCCCAGCTACGTGGGAGGATAAGGTGGGAGGATAACTTAAGCTCACAAAGTCGAAGTTGCAGTAAGCCGTAATTGTGCCACTGCACTCCAGCCGGGGTGAGAGCAAGACCTTGTCTCAGAAACAACCTGACTGTGCTGGCATCCCGATTTTGGACTTCCAGCCCGCAGAATTTCGACAAAATAAATATTTAGGCCACCAAGTCTACGGTATTTTGTTCTAGCTGCCCAAGCAAAGACCCTTTCGTAGCAAAAGTAACTTCTCGTCTAGGAAAAAAGTCTAAATAAACATGTGTGAGAACTTTATGAAGAAAATTATAGAAATTGTAGGAATATTTTAAAAAGTCAAGCTGATTTTCTGTTTAAAAATCTGTCATAACTATTCTGTATACACAAGCGTTTTCTCAATACTATGAAAACAGAAAAAAGAAAGAAAAGAGAAAACGAATGCAGATACTGATTTAAGACATCAAATAGCCGGGCGCGGTGGCTCAAGCCTGTAATCCCAGCACTTTGGGAGGCTGAGGCGGGTGGATCACGAGGTCAAGAGATCGAGACCATCTTGG